AGATGTTGTTCTATGATCTTGAAAATGAAGAAAGATTTGTGGCAGTCACTACTCACAAGGAAAGGGTCGGAAGTGTCCCCCTCCGATTTTAATGAGCTTTGAATATGTTGTAGTCTAGATCAAAATAGGAGACACGTATTTTTTTATAAGTGCTGAGTCGGCCGTTAAGGGGGTGAAACACCTTCTTGAAAAAAATCGATTTTTTCATTTCTCAGCGGATACCGTCGAAGCGATAAGAGATATAAACAAAAGTTTCAAATAAAAGTTTTATGGTCTTTAATGTACTTCAAAATCATGTAATCAGATTTGTCGAAAATGTCATATTTTTCGAAATCCCCCCCCTCCCTTTTAATGTTTGAAAATTTTTAAATTTGTCTCATAACAAAACTTATAGCTCATTTAACGACAAATTCAATCATATATAATAAAGTTGTATTCCGAAGTCACATTTTTCAGAAATAAATTAAAAATATCCCTATACACTACTATACGCCCGCTTTATCCGCCTTATGACGCTCGTTATTCACAGCGACAGTCATTTTTCTTCGCAAACTCACAGAGGCAACCATAAATTAGCAATAAATAATTTATGAGAATATATTTTTATAAATTATAGAAATTATATTTATAAATATAATTATAAATTATATAATAATTATAATTATAATATATGTCTATATTATGTGACAATAAATATACATATAATTTATATGGAAAAGTAATGTTTTTAATGCATGAAAAATAAAACTAGTCGGACAAGGAAAATTATTGATCAGATGCCGATGTTAATAGATTCAATTCTATGAATAAACAGATGTCGCATTCGCGAAATGAGTTGGTGCAATATATTATTTTATTAACAACTGCGTGCAGTGGAACACATATTACTATTAAAGCGTCTATCGAATATACGCGAGCGCGATAGTAAATATATTTATATATATAAGAAAATAATTAAAAGGATTATAACTTATAAAGCGAGCGAAAAAATGCGTCGCGATAAGAAAGTCAGCTGCCCGAAGTGCTGATACAGCCAGTATCACACGGCCAAGTCATCAAACAGAGGAAGAAATCACTCTCGAAATAGCGCTGAATTGCAATAAAATGCGAGGAAGTCTTCGGACTTCCTTCGCTTGCATTTTGATCACGCCACTTTAGAAATAACCAATGATTTTATTTGGTCATGCCACCGCGCGATCCTCCTCCGATAATCGTTCAGAACCGGAGGCGTTAAAAGCCACCGCCTAGAAGCGGCGGACAGTCACAAATCAGTTATCAAATAATTAACAAGTGCTCGAGTTAATTAACAAGACTAGCCGTTATCCTGAAAAAACAATTGTGCCCCACGCACACAACAATACAGTATGTATGTACTTTTTCGATTTTTAAAACTTTTATAGTTTTTTGCTTTTACTTACACTTCATTCAAAATTGCGGTTTATCTGTTTTGTTTTAATGTATTTAAATTATAATTAATATTTTATTACTTTATTTAAGTTATGTGATAAAACTGTTCTATTTTTCATGAAACTCGGAAAACGTAACAAATTATTAATACGCATTAAATAATAAAATATTTTTGTTGCTAATAAGTATTTTTTTGCTAATATTTATAAAACAAATATACATAATGTTAATAATTTTTTTAGATAATGTTTAATCCAAGAAATGTAGCAGTACTGCTATACACTGCACTGTATATGACTGGGGAATTCCCAGAAAGTCCTGTTACAACAGATGAAAATGAAACAAAAGACATGATGGAAAATATGCTTCGATCAATGTATGAAGAAGCGTTTGAAGTTTATGAAGAATCATCATTAGATTTTCAAAACGAATTTGATATACCTGAAGTAGAACCTGTAATTGATGAAGAAAGAGAAGAAGACACATATTTTGTAAAAGAAATTGAATGTGTTGCGGATTCTGTACCAATAGAATATAAAAGAAATGCAGTAGAGTTATGGAGAAGTGGAACAAAAAAGTCAAGAACTCTTGCATCTATAAGAAATAGATTTCGGAAAGTCACGTCATTACGTCAATTAAGAAGATGGGAGCAGCAAGTAAATCAAGGTGGCAACAGATTTGATAAACTGAAAGAAATTTCAACATATACGTTAAATAAATTCCATGAAGGTATTGAAAAGGGAATAATTATTCATGACATTGATATTGCTCGATGGGCTCTTCGCGCACAGAAGGAAGTAAATCTACTTGGGTTTACAGCATCATTATCATGGGTAAAAAGGTTTAAGCTTGCACATAATATCGTATCTAGAAAAATTACAAAATTTATAACAAAAAAAAATTTAGCGTCAGACAAAGATTTAGAAGCACGAAGCAAGTCATTTATCGAAAATGTTAAATCTTCTATTATACAATATGGAATTGAAAATGTATATAATTCGGACCAAAGTGGATTTCAATTAGAATTTCATTCCGGTCGTTCACTATCACCTATTGGTATTAAAAAAGTAGAGCGCATAGTACAATCCATATCAGCAACTACACATAGTTATACTATACAACCTATTGTTTCAGCTGATGGTAGATTATTATCGCCTCTGTTTATTGTTTTAAAAGAACCTACTGGAACATTTGGTCCAATAGTAAAAGAAACAATGTTTAAAGATAATAATATCTTTGTCATGGCATCAAAATCTGGAAAATTAACATCGCATCATTTTGAGATCTGGATAAAAGAAGTGTTTTTTCCAAATGTTGGACCAAAATCAGTGTTATTATTAGATTCTTGGACTGGTCATTGTCCTGATATAATTCAAAGAAACAAACCAGATTTTATAGACAATATTAATTTGTTAACTATACCAGCTGGAGCAACGGGAAAAATACAACCTTTAGATGTATTCGGTTTTCGTTTATGGAAAAATTTTGTTAGACATTTTTCAGATACCATCATGCTTTTAGATCTTGACGTCAAGCTTCATTCAAGAAACAATATTTTAAAATTACAATCATTAACACATAATCAATTTTCATCACCAAGGTTTAAAAATTTATTCAAATATGCATGGTATAAAAGTGGTTATTTAGAAAAGAAACCAGAAGAATTTGATACACCAGTAGATTTTTGTTTCAAAACTAATTTAAAACCAACATGTGATATTTGCGGTGAAATTGCTGTAATTTCTTGCGCATGGTGTAAAAAATCCCTTTGTATAAATCATTTCTTTCATGATCATCATCTTTGTAACCGATATCAACCATGAATATTTGTTATTCTTGTATGCAATAATTATGTACGGTATTTTATGTAATATTTCCATATACATATATATAATGACTTCGGAATACAACTTTATTATATATGATTGAATTTGTCGTTAAATGAGCTATAAGTTTTGTTATGAGACAAATTTAAAAATTTTCAAACATTAAAAGGGAGGGGGGGGATTTCGAAAAATATGACATTTTCGACAAATCTGATTACATGATTTTGAAGTACATTAAAGACCATAAAACTTTTATTTGAAACTTTTGTTTATATCTCTTATCGCTTCGACGGTATCCGCTGAGAAATGAAAAAATCGATTTTTTTCAAGAAGGTGTTTCACCCCCTTAACGGCCGACTCAGCACTTATAAAAAAATACGTGTCTCCTATTTTGATCTAGACTACAACATATTCAAAGCTCATTAAAATCGGAGGGGGACACTTCCGACCCTTTCCTTGTCAGATAATTGACCATTAAACATTGTGTCTTATTAAAGAACCAAGTATATTTCTTATAAATCTATATATTATGTCCCTAATGAAATGAATCACGTTACTTCAAAGAATAAAATTATGTAATTGTCATTAAATGTATCTTGGGCAAACTGTATAGCAATTCCGAGAATTACAAAGTCAGACACAGATAAACATTAATAACTATTTTTATTCAAAACTCTAAAAAGTTACCTTTTCTTTCTTTTCTTTATATCATAAATGGATGGTATTGATCCAGTATTTAAACTAAAGCTATTTGATTTTTGTTTTAAATCTTCTTTCTTGAAATGCTGTGAGCATAAGAAAGTTGCGGTATTAAGGACTTTCCTTGATTCCACAGAAAGATAGCCATTTTTTTCTAATGTCCTTATCTTTCGGAAATCTGTAAAGAAATAACATTATATATAAACGTTTTATTTTTATGCTATACATATTTCATTTACAGGAAACATATTTTGAAACGCATATAATCTATAAAAAGACACTTAAATTGTCTTACCTGTGATAAGATACAGTTTTGTTGTTTGTCAGATTACCGCACAACAAACAATATTTGCCCATTTCGCTAACAGTTCAGTTGTCCAAACACGTTATCCTCGCTTGGCCATAACAGATGTTTATGTCTAACCTTATATACGCGCAAGCGTCGTTCGGTGACGCGCGTGCGCATAGCGAACAAAAGTCAGGCTCTATCTGTCCTTGTCGCACAGATGTTAAGGACAGTTTTGGCTATACGAAATACAGGCTATTCCTCTTCCATGTATATAAGTTCTATTATCCAGACAAACTTGCATAGGTGCATATGCATAACATAAGACCATATGGACCAATGAGCATCGAATATTAAATCGCTATATTAACTTACATAACATAATACTCGATGCTCATTGGTCCATATGGTCCCAGTGAGAAGGCTGATGTCGACTCGATGTCGATTCAACGTCGATTCACCGAAAACTCATCGACATCGAAATTGACTTCGAAAATCAGCCGATTTCGATCAAATTGTTTTGACATCAGGAGTTGCTTTTTTCTAAGTTATTTGTGTTCAAAACCCGTAATTTTGTCTACAATTAAGAGACTCATTATATGAGAGAGTATATATGCAGACAATCATCGATTCAATATCGATCGACATCGAATCGATAACCGATGATGATTAGATGTGGCGCTACTGGCGCTATTAATATTATTTTCCGCGGACATTGTTGTAACGGCGCGGTCTGCGTTTCTATCGGCGTTTCTTGTTGTGAAAGCGTATACGTGTGCGAACGTATGCTAGTTCACGCGACCGTTCAATTTCTTTGCGTTGATAGCGATAGTGCGTTGGACGTGTGTTATATACAAGCAATTTAACAAGTGGTCAAGCAAGTGGTCCTAAGCAACAACTTGGGAAGAATCTCAGCATTGACGCGAAGTGACGGGAATTAAGTTTTCCGAGAACCATGTCGAGTGACGATCAGCGTCCAGTAAGTATTTTCAGTTATGTTACATTTATGGATTATTTCTAGATTAGGGTTCCGACATTGAGCAAAATTTTCCTTGGAAAAGATGTTTCGGAACATAACCTAAGTATCAGTAATTAAGCGGCAGCACACTGGCACCACACTGAGGGCGGCATTGAGAGCTTATTTTTGTTTACTGATGTTGATTTCCTCTGTAATGTTCTTCGTTTATTAGTTTATTGAACTATGGTTTCCTCCTCTTTCTTTTATAGAAAAGCGAAAAATATTCTATTTCTTTAAATTGACTCTCCATGCATATAATTTTCTGTGTTTTTTCCAAGTTTCTGTGAAAATGGTTCGTACATCGTTGATTGGAACTTCTATGGTTGGATCTTCTTGTTCGTTAGCTCTTTCTTTGGCAAGAGTTCGTAATCTCATTTCCTAAATCTAAACACTTCATAAAACCTAGATGAACTGGTATTCATACATAAATATATAATTTTAATTTTATATCGATTTGTGAGTTCAAAGTATAATTTCTTGATATCTAATATATTTATTTGTATAAACGTTTAGCCTATTGTTGTTGATAATCATCAAAACACTGGTAATCTGTCAGTATTATTGCTGTTTTTAATTTTCATATTAAATTAATCTTTTAGAATGCTGTCTGAAAGGCTTTTGCGATGAGCATATTTTCAATAAACTTATGTAATTACCTCTCTTTTACAGACTCATAAAAAAGAATTCCATCTAGTTGTACATGGAACAATAAGATAGTATTTGTATTTACAAATACTTTCTATCATATTTGAAGCATTTGTTGATCTATGACAGATGTTTCACAATGCAGTTAACTTTTCAAACGTTGAATTATAAATTTGTTAATAAGCTGTTTTAAAAGCTTTTTGAACATCTACGGTGGCAATCAAATTTAATGCCTCAGCATTTTCTTTGTTACCCACAAAGAAAATGCTGATGCAAATGAATCATATAATATCATCGTTCTGTCATTAGAAAATTCAAAAGTTTGAAAGTCGGAAATATTGTGCACTGAAATAGTACACTATTCATCATCATTAATAAAATCAATATCTTGTGTGTTTTTAATTTTCAGTGATAGAATACACTCTGAAAGATTTTACAAAATTGCTGGCATTTTCAATTAATGCCAACTAATTTTCTCCTAACTATGTACATTAAATGATTTGTGTATTTCAGTAAGCAGACATTCAATTTTTCGATGTGTATGTGAGAATTAAATTCTTCTAAATCCTAATAACAGAACGTCTATTTAAATTTTCATCTGTATAATAGCATGTTGCTTTCATAACTTTTTGATTGTTACTCCATATATATATTGTAGTACAAACATAATCAACTTGACTGAATATTTGTTGTAATCTATTTAACATTTGCTTCTTTCCATTCTTTAAATGATTTAGTGTCGTTTTATAAGAAAAATTTAAACGGGGTAATGTTATCTATTAACACATAAAAAGTTTTTTACAAATATGATTCTATACAAAATTTTACCATTAAAATCTTATTACAATTTCACCTACTCGTACTATGGTGCGCTTATAAAGTTTCTGATTATTATAGTATTTAAGCCTTTTTTTATCGAAATTTGAGAAATTAAGCCACAAATTAAATTTTTCTTTACTATATACAGATTTCCTATATACTGTAATTAGATTGAGACATTTTTTGTTTAGTATTAGCAGGTTACGTATTCAGTGTCTTATGAATGTGATCTCACTAACATATTCTAACTAACTTTTTAGAACTATTGAGTAATTTCACTCTTTTTCTTTATTTTCCACTTTTTAAGATGAGTTCGAAATCTTACAAGCGGAGGCTACGACGAAAAGCTGAAAGAGAGGTATCTAAAAGATTCAAAGTTGATGAGATCATGAGCAAAGTCAATACAAGATATGCTATAACAAGTGACGCGGATAGTGAATCTTCTGATTGCAATCTCTCGTATGTCGACAGTATAGATGAATGTGAAATGCGTTATCTAGAACAAGAATCTGTACCAAATAATGATGCTTCATCAAGTGAAGAGGAAAATAATAGAAATGATTCATTATCAAGTGCCAATGATGAAAATGATGATAATAGGCCTGGTGTAGATTTTGTCGATAATAATGAGAGAAATGTTGTAGAATTTGAAAATGATACTGAAAGAGAAGAATATATTATTGAAACTGTTCGTGAGTGGGCATTAGAGGCAGGACATCTATCCATGAAAAAATTGAATGATCTTCTCAATAGACTTCATGTAGTTTTTCCACGAATGCCCAGAAACTATAAGACACTACTTCACACTCCTGTTCATATTAATGTAGTTGAATTTGATGATGGGTGTAAGTTTTGGTACAAAAGTATTTCGACTAATCTGAATGCTATGGATCTGAGAGAGTATTTTCAAAGATATGATTGTATCAAGATTGATGTAAACATAGATGGTTTACCTTTATTTCAAAGTTCGAAGAAGAAGTTCTGGCCTATTTTGGGCTATCTTGTTGGTACCGAAAATGAGCCATTCATTATTGCTTTATATTTGGGCAAGCAAGATCCTAAAAATTCGGCAGAATTCTTGTATGACTTCGTTAATGAGGTTGAAAATTTGCTAGAAAATGGATACATTTATAATGGGGTAACGTACCAGTTTGAAGTTCGAAATTACATACTAGATGCACCCGCTCGATCATTAGTAAAATGCACTATAGGTCATTCGGGCTATGCATCATGTGAAAAATGTACTGTTGTTGGTCAACATGTTGATGGAAGGAGAACTTACGTGCAACTTGATGAACCTCTGAGAACGGATCAGTCATTTCGTAACATGAGTCAGCGACTTCATCATACTGGTGTGTCTATTTTGTCGAGAAATACTAACATGATATCTCAGTTCCGCCTTGATCCAATGCATTTGATTTGGCAAGGAGTTTGGAAGAGACTGCTTAAGGCATGGATCCTGTGGAATGGGCCTTGGCAATTGGAAGTTAATGCAGTCCGCGAAATATCTGCTATTCTTGAAAATGATTTATCTCAAACATGTCCACAAGATTTTGCTAGGCCTCCAAGATCATTGATAGAATGGAATCTGTACAAGGCTACTGAGCTTCGACGAATGTGTCTCTATGATGGCATTTTTGTATTCAAAAGATATCTTCATGAAAATGTGTATAAACATTTTCTCTTATTGCATTCTGGTCTTTATATTCTCTCTAGTCTAGTTCTGGTTCGTTCAATGTTAGAAACTGCTAATGAATTGTTACGACTCTTTATACGCCATTCTGTCAACATTTACGGGCAGAAGTTTGTAGTATATAATGTCCATGCTCTCTGCCATCTGACCGCTGAATGTGCCGTATATGGACAGCTCGAAAACTTCAGTGCTTTTAAATTCGAAAATAGATTAAAATCCCTTAAGGCAGTTCTCCGATCAGGGTATCAACCGTTGCAGCAAGCAGCTTATAGAGACCTTGAAAGGTCTGCACGTGTTACTGTTCATTTGTCTTCTAATGATAAGCATGTTACTCTTTCTCAAGAGCACAGAGATCCAAATGAAGTCATGATTGGTACGCACTTCAGACGATTGTCAGTTGGTAAAATTTTTTTCCAGCTAGGAAGGAAAGATTCATGTTTACGAACTGTTGGTGGAGACATTGTTGTATTGAGGAACATTGTTCAGAATGAAGATGGCATTTTTCTGATTGGAAATATGTTCCTTAATGTTGAGAACTTCTACACATATCCTCTAAACTCATCTATTCTAGGCATTGTTCGTGTATCTGAGAAAGAATATGTTAGAAGAAGTTTTGCTCTGACAGACGTTGAGTCAAAATGTTGGCTAATGTCAGATGGTGATGCATTTCTGTGTGTGCCTTTGTTGCACACAATGCCCCTATTCTAAGTATTGCATGTATTCTGGCAAATCCCTACTATATGTATATATGTATATATATCTTGTTTTTTTAAAGATTATAATTTTCTCACATTATCTTTTATTTCTAACTTTTTATCTCTCTCTCTCTCTAATTCTTTTCTTCTCTCTCATTTCCTTCCTTCTTCCCCTATTCTTTTCTTTTTTTTCTATATCTTTCATCCACCATTTTCCTTCTCCCTTCTTTTCTAACAACCATCCTCCCTGCTGCCATTGTATATCTACATAATCTTCTTTGCATCGTTTTTAGTTCGTTGTCATCAAATTTATTAACAAAACAGAAAAAGAATCAAATGGCGACACAGTTTATGAGGTGGGCCTCGCCAAATGGATTGTTGACTTAAACGAGGACATGATGGGTACGACAAAATGGCCTCCTTCTTCCGTAGATGCTGGAAAACTTATAAGGAAGGAAACTTCCCCAGATCCAAATTGGCCAGTGTGCTATGTTGAGGTGATAAGGTACTTCGGTAAGTTTGATTGCACAAGTTAACTATATGAGTCATGCTTTTAGTCTAATTATTATTACTTTATTTGCATCCAGATACTATAAAAAGAGCTAGAGAGATGTTGAAGAGATTGGTGGATGAAGGACTAACTTCCTACGAGACTGAAAGAGAATTGGGCCGGGGTAAAAGGAAGAAACGACCACCTATTATATATACCGATGATGATGAGGATTCAGATGTTCCAAAATACAATAAAAAGAAACAGTCTCTGTCTGATGACAGCGACTCAGATTTGGTTCAACATAAGAAAATTAGAAAGTTTGGCAAGTCAAAGAAGATAGATCAAGATATACCGGCACCACCATCGTTGTCCTTTCAACACAAAACCCCTAGTAACATAAGCCCAGATCAGAATGACAGGAACAGAAAAATTATTGTGACTGTTGCACATAAAAACACGGGAACTGCTTCATCTTTAATAGAGAAAATTAAAAGTCGAAAAACTGAGCGGCAAGTTTTTCAGAACCTAAAAGAAGAGAATCTCGAAAATGCTCTTAAGAAGCAGAAGAGCACATTAACTGTTCCTCAGCTGAATGTATGTGCCAAAAGCCCTTTGCAACAAATGAATGTCACACTGTCCGAAAACAATGTTAATAGTATGGGAGATGAGAAGGAAAATATGATTAATGAATCTGAAGTTGAGTCCAGCCTTGGAATCCCTTTTGAACAGCAAAGCCCAAGTTCAAGAGACACAGAAGTGGTTCGGCCGAGTTGTTATACACCTTTGAGGTCTCCATTGTTGCACAGGATGAGTCCTAGAAATTCTGAAATCTTTCGTCATCAGCAATATAATTGTCACCGGAAAATGTCACAAGATGATAATGATGCTGAGAGTCTTTCCTTTGGTAATTATATTGTATTATGGTCAGTTGTTGGCCCTATTTATATTTTTATATTAATTATATTAACAGCTTAGCGAAAAATTAAAATTTTCGCTCTCGTTGACTCTCAAACCGAAAATCACAGATTATATATATCTTTGAATTTCAAGAGCCGAAATATAATAATTTCAATTAATTATATTATTTAATTTCAGATATCAATAAGAGCATTAGAGAAATAAAATCTCTATGCAAAACTACACTTGTGCGAGTGGAAGAATTGAGCAGTAAAGTTGATGTCACAATTATGAATCAGACGCGACTCAACCGGTCTCTTCTTCCAGCTGAGAAAAGAATTATTCGTCCATCAGATCTACCGGCTCTTCCTGTTTATACAGAGGATGATCTGAAAGCTATGGAGAGATTTTTGGAAGACGAATCTAATTTGTCAGCAATGGTAAGTTTAAGGATGTTTTGTATTGATTTTTCACGTGTAATATGGAGTCTCTCTACACAAACATATCCGAAAATGATGCCTCTGATTTTTTGTATTTACTCTATACATGCTTAATTCTACTTGCACTGTTTTATATCCCTATGCCAGCGAACTGTAAATGTAATTGTTTGATTTTTAGGTTCATTATTTGGCTTCATTTTCCTTGAATAAAATTGAAGGAAAAGCAGCTGCTCAAGTTATGGCAAAGTTGATATCTAATGTACTGGCCTGTTCCTACAATTTTAAGGATACTGACGGAAGTGGAAAAAAAGGCTTTCAAAATCTGCATCTTTGGGAGGTGGTTCAAGGTATGCATTTAAAGGTTTTTGAAGATTATTGAATATTTGAATAGTGACTTTTTCTTGCTATTAGAATATATATATACTGGAAATGTAAAGTATATCTACAATTTTCTTCCACTGTTTATGTATACAATATGGGTGTAACCATTTGGGAATTAATATATATATTTTGAATAATTCATATCTTGAAATATCAAGCTGATGCGTATTCTTTGATGTAAATATATCAACTCGATTTGATCATTGCTTTCCTAAATTGTGTCATTAAGGACTGAATGGATAGTCTGTAAACTGTATTGGTATTTATTAGCAGAAAATGTAATTATATGTCATATATTTCAGGTGTGATACAAATGCGATTTCCTGAGAGTGATCTCTCAGATGCCAAAGATTCTGTGATGTCCTGGTTGCGAAATGCTCCCTGGCGGAAGCAAGAGAAAGGATCTAACACTGGGAAGAGGAAGAGCAAGAGCTTTCTAAAAGAAAGCTCTTAAGTACTTAAGAAAACAAGACAATAAGTTTTTTCCAGTGTTACCTGTAACATGTGATATTTTTTGCTGATAGTGATATAGGGTTATGATATAGGTATAGGTTGTCTATTAGTGATCAAAATAATTGTAATGTCCATTAGTTATTTAAGGCGCCCAGCGCAGATGTAAAATGGGCCGTTTCTACTTCCGATTTTTTTTTAGATTTACATGCACTATTTACACGAGATGTTTTACACGAGCAACAAATACGAACAACTGTCTATATACGCTTGCTATATAAGATCTTATTGCTTTATCGTGTTACTCTTTTATAAAAATTTTTTTATGATTTCTTTATTGCACAAGCCACTCTATGTGATCACTTTTTGTGCAATTATTATAAACTGATTCATATTTGAGTGTAAGATTTTATTTCCATGATTAATTTTTTAATTTTCCACATATTAATTGCGATTCTTGTGCACATATTGCTTTTTTATTGGACAAAACACAAAAGTAGAGAAATTGGAAGTACTTATTTGGTCCTAAAATATTTAGTTTTTTTACACTCGAAATTTCAATACTCGAATAATCGATTTACATTTCTATTTGTTTTTTTAGCCCCATATTTTATGTATTATGCAATAGCTGCAATGATATATAATTACGACAACTTTATATATAAAAGAATAATCCCTTAGTCCATTATTAGTGATAAAACCAATTGTGATGTTAGATGATGTAAGACTAATGAAAAAATAATATTTTTGTTTTAAAATAAACATTGATTTTATCTAATTATATATATATTAAATTTTTTATTATTTCCTGCAATATTTGTCTGACTTAATAAAAATCGATTTGATGTCGATTAGACGTCGATTACGTCAACAGGTAATCGACATGAGAGACAAAAAGAGATCGATGTCGATGTCAATTTCGATCTCATTTCGAACCCACATATTGATATCGATTCGACGTCGGAACGACTTTTCGTGTCTCACTGGGGTCTTATGTTATGCATATGCACCTATGCAAGTTTGTCTGGATAAGCTCTAACCACTCACTGTTTCTACATTACGATTTTCTCTGTGCGTTGACTGAAGTTTAAGTTTACGTACCAAATTAATACTTAACGTAACGTAATGCGTTACGAAACAGCTTGTGCGGAGGCCCTAAGTACTTTGACAATGTAGGGCACATCCTTGGATATATGTATATATATATATATATATATATATATATATATATATAATAAAACATATTGTAATTAGAAATGAATATTTTTGTTATAATTTCATAAAATATAATAAAAAGTACGTAACATAAATAATATAAATTTAAATTTAATAAGTCAATTTATTAATCAATTTTTTTCATTTGCAGGATTTTTTCATTTATAGGATTTTACACAGGAATTGATGCATTTTTGTGTCTGCGCAACTTATGTTAGTGTTATAACTGTGCAACTACAATATGATGTTCTATAATGTAAAAAAGGATTGAATTATAATGATGACAATCTCATTAATGTAGTATCTTAATGTCATGCTGTCTATTAATACTATATATTTATTTTGATTTTAATAGACAACAGTAATAGATGAATACTAATTTGCAATCATTGGAAAGATCCAACTTATATCTAATATCAAGAAGGAATCCATTACAAAGCATGAGAATCTTTTAAGCGAGAGTTCAATATTATAGTCTCCGCTAATAGACTCTTGTGATCTGTAATGGAATAATCAACGCTAATTCATTAACTTGCAGTAATTGTTGAAACAATAATGATTTTGTATTACAGATGTGTTAGAAAATTGAAAAAATATTTATATTCTTATTCAGTTTGTGACATTAAAGAAGAAAATGCTTTAGCATGTCATATCTAAATGCAGTATGTTGTATTATGTATATATGTATTATATGTATTATATGTATATATTATCTATGTGTATAATGTATTGTATTATGTATATATGTATTATATGTATTATATGTATATATTATCTATGTGTATAAAGAAGTAAATTTTATAATATTTTGTTTTTAACTTATATATCAATTTGACAATTAGATTAGATTATATGTACAAGAATACATTATTTTTGGAAGAAATAATTCTGTATCAATATAAAAATTATAATAATTACACTTGAAGATTTACATTTATACACTATTTTATATAATGCATATATGTACATATTCAAATATAATATTAGAGTAGAATATACTTATAAAATTGTATATTTGTATATTGATGTTTTTCACATGCTATGTTCTCATAATGCATATAAGTATTGAAATATGATAACAGAATATGTATATTTATATATTGGTGTTTTTGTATGGTATGTTATTTATGAACTGTTAAGAATAAAGAAATAGTGTATTCTTCGCACTTAAAATCTCATACATGTCAGAGCATTGTGTATTATATTTGAATATATGTATGTATATCTTATATGTAAAACAGTGTAATAACATAAATGTAAATTTTCAATTATAATTATAATCGTTATAGATGTAATATTGACGCAGGATTATTCCTATCAAAAATAATGTATTCTCATAAATACAATACACTCTAATTGTCAAATTGATACATAAGTTAAAAACAAAATATTATAAGATTTTCCTCTTTATACACAAAGATAATATATATAATACATATAATACATATATACATACACAGATAATACATATAATACATATACACATACACAGATAACACATATAATACATACACATATAACACATACACAGATAATACATATAATACATATATACATAATACAACATATTGCATTTAGATATGACATGCTAAAGCATTTTCTTCTTTGATGTCACAAACTGAATAAGAATATAAATATTTTCTCAATTTTCTAACACATCTGTAATACAAGATCATTATTGCTTCAACAATTACTGTAAGTTAATGAATTAGCGTTGATTATTCCATTACAGATCACAAGAGTCTATTAGCGGAGACTATAATATTGAACTCTCGCTTAAAAGATTCTCATGCTTTGTAATGGATTCCTTCTTGATATTAAATATAAGTTGGATCTTTCCAATGATTGCAAATTAGTATTCATCTATTACTGTTGCCTATTAAAATCAAAATAAATATATAGTATTAATAGACAGCATGACATTAAGATACTACATTAATGAGATTGTCATCATCATAATTGAATCCTTTTTTTACATTACTAGAACAATACAGGCGCGCGCTACGCGCGCGCTATTTATTTCTTCCATTCATACTGCATATATATATATATATATATATAAGAGAGAACCTGAAAGAAATACATATGAGGTCCGACATGACCTCAAATGTCATTTAAACTTAAACAAGATATGGGTACCTCTGAGAATGAAAGCTATTCAAAAAATTTTGTATCGATAAAAATTATTTATTTTAACAAAGCGCATTGGGTAGTGATCTTAATCTTGACTACGACCATATATATATTGTATATATCAAAGCGCATTGGGTAGTGACCTTAATCTTGACTACGACCATATATATATATATATATATATATATATATATATATATATATATATGGTCGTAGTCAAGATTAAGGTCACTACCCAATGCGCTTTGATATATATATATATATATATATATATATATATATATATATGGTCGTAGTCAAGATTAAGATCACTACCCAATGCGCTTTGTTAAAATAAATAATTTTTATCGATACAAAATTTTTTGAATAGCTTTCATTCTCAGAGGTACCCATATCTTGTTTAAGTTTAAATGACATTTGAGGTCATGTCGGACCTTATATGTATTTCTTTCAGGTTCTCTCTTGAATATTATATATTTAAAAAAAAAATTTTTTTCTTAATCGCGAAATCTTAATCGCTCACAATTTCAATCGTCTACTTACACTTAGGGCCGGTTGTTCCAACTTCTTGGTAAATTTTACCCGATAAGTAGCCTATTTTCGTCTTTTTTTTAAAACTTATCTAAAAAAAGACGAAAATATGCTACTTGTCGAGTAAAACTTACCAAGAAGTTGGAAAAATTGGCCCTTAATCGTGTACTTACACTTATAATCACAGTTAAATTCGGAATGGCAAGTTCTCATCGATACAAAATTTATATCGTTATCTCCTACCATAGATGTAGCTAGACTTACGTTTTGGGGTAAGTTAAAAATATTATATCTTTGATCTTGAAAACGAAAGAACCTCTATACAATATAAATCATTGTAATTCCATTGTAGTAATTGCAAAATTGCAATGAAACATTACAAAGAGGTTGCTACAATGTAATTACACAGAAAAATCCACAAATCGTCAACACAATTACAAGATAACAAACATTTCAAAAAAAATTTTTAAATCAAAATTGTGCAATTATATTTTTTTAGAATAAAATATATAGAAAAAATACAAACTATAGGTAATAAACTAAATTATTTAAATTTTACTTATTTCAGCCTTATAATTGTTTAAATATTACAAAATCAATGTATATAAAAAAGTAAGATCCATTTTAAGAGCTTTATTTAAAAAAAAATGAAATTTTTAATCTTCAAATCTCTAAAATATAAAATTTTTAACTATAAAAATTATAAAGTTTCAATATGTAATAAAAATAAATATAAAAAATAAATATAATACATAATTAACATTTGCTCAAAATCATTCAATTTTTTTATATGTGATAACTTTTCATATAGTATATAATTTTTCACAAATTGATAACTCAAGTATATAAATTAATAAATATCTCATACTATATAGTACATTACAATAAAATGGAATAAAAATGGAAATCCAGACATTTCTTCTTAATAAATTAAATTGTAAAAAAAGTATTATAATACTTTTACATTTGATATGATGCAACAAAAATATTGATTACGCTGTATATATAACTGTGTATATAATAATAATAATGAAAAAACTATTATAAGTATGATGAAGTAAGCACACACACAATAGACATAAAAATAAATAAAGTATAAATATACAATCATATAAAATTATAATATATAACATAGATGTATATAAAACAAAACATGATATTGTAAATTTATTATAATGAAAAAGTTGTAGAACATCAAACAAAAAATAATATTAATACATAAAAATAACATCATAAACTCAGGTACTTTGTTTTTAATTTGAACTATTGAAAAGAATGTGAAGTAAATCGAAATGTATAGAGCTCTATTACTTCTATTTGAATAATTGAAATATATTTGTATCAGAACCTGTGAAAAATTTCAATTATACTCATCATTATTTAATATAGTATTTATATACTTATTTTGTATAATATAATTTACATATTATATGATTGCATATTCACTTTACACACGTTATACATATTTAAATGAAACATTTGTTAATATATAAAATCAAAATTAAATTTGTTTATTCTATATAATTTAATATTGAATTTTATTGCAATACTTTAGTTTATAACTTCTTTCTCAATAATATAATAATTAATATAAATTAAGTAATACAATATATAAGTTTTATAATATTATTAAGCTTTAAAATAAGAATTATTTTAATTTTCTTTAAATAAATATTATTATATTTTTTATAAATTTTAATAAATTATTTATCATATTTATCATAAAATTAT